ATAGATAGATAGATAGATAGATAGATAGATAGATAGATAGATAGATAGATAGATAGATAGATAGATAGATAAAGTTATGATGCAGAAGTACCGTATTGACATAAACATATTAGTCCCACCTACTTATTTTTAAAATCACTATTAGGAAATGTCTCACGTTATTTCTAATGTTGGATGTCTTGAATGGGAGCTACAAAGGTTCACCTCAAGTCACTGAAGGGCAATCTTCAAGAAGAGACACACTAAATACCTACTATCTGCTAATATACCAGTTACTTATTCATGCCTCACAATTTACCCCTCAACCTAGTACCTCAAGACAACATCCTTTATACTATTGTTTCATGGGTGAAGAATCTGAGTCTGGCTTAGCTGGGTCCTCTGGTTCAAGACCTGTCAGGGACTGCAAACATAACGCTATCCAGGACTGAGGTCATCCCAAGGCTTGCCTGGAGGAAGATCTACTTCCAGACTCGCTGCTGTGGATACCAGCAGGATGCAGTTCCTTATAGGACTGTTGGATTGAATGCCTTGGTTGCTTGTTGGCATCCTGTTGACTAGATGCTCTCTTTCTCCAGCAGTCTGCCTGAACTTGGATAAAGGGAAGGAGCCAGCAGATTCAGAGTGTCTCCATCTTACATTTAGTGATGAGGCAGCTATATCGCAAGAGGATAGATGACTTCCTAGCTCTCAGAGAGCTTGTCAGTGACAGACGTCACACTGAAATGCAGGCCAGCCTTACAGCTGCCATAAGACCCAGTCCTTCACCCTCAACTCTCACACCGTGTCTCTGACTGCTTCCTCTGCTGTTGAGTCTTTGATTTCACTTCATTAATGACATGTAGATAAAGATGCTATCAGAAAAGGCAGTTGATTGAATTATGGATACATACGATCATCCCATGTCTTACCTAGGATTGGCAGATTTTCTAAGTAAGATTAACCTTTTTGAGGATCAAAAATGGTTGAAAATAAGATGCAGTTCTGAAAAGAGGATGGGCCTTTGTAGCAATTTCACTTGATAAGTAACTCAGGGATGGACATGGCAGGAGCAAATCATGGAAATTCCACTATAGCAGCCAGAGCAGGTCCTGGAAATGAGAAACATACGAGCAAGTACTATCTCGCTATGAACCAAATTGCTTCAGAGTATGTAGAGATCCCGGGAACAGAATACATTCCAGTGGGACATTGCTGGGTTATCTAGACCACCTCGTCTTGATCCTGGGTTCTCCCCCTTGCCTCCAGGCTAGGCCACCTCATTCATCTTCAGCTAGGATGTGCTTAGTCAGTCATCAGCTCCGCCACAAGAACTTCTCCAGCCTTCTCAGTTCCCAGATCCCCAGAATGCTATCGGCAAAGCTGTTCCAAATAACTACAGATGGGAAGGCAATCATTTGTTAATGAAAATTACCCAGCCAACCAGTGGCAGCAAACAACCAACACAGGACTTCAGAAAGAATAAAATGAGATGCCTATTACTTCCTCCAATGTTCTAGGGCGTGGAGTGTACTGTAAAGAATGCCTATAAAGAATAGGCCTGTCTACAGCTGTCTAATAGATAGGCTGTGCTGGCTAGGTGTTTTTTTAAAGTTTCATATATTTTATATTTTGATCATTTTCCCTCCCCTACTTCCCTACATCTATCTATCTCTCTCTCTTTCCCTCTCTTCTTCCCTCCCTCCCTCCGCACTGTTCAGCAGTACCTGCGTAGGGTGAGGCTGAGCAATGGAGCAGTGGGCACCTGTCTTGATCTGCCTCAGTGGGCACGGGTGCTTGCCACCAAGCCTGACAATCTGAATTTGAACCCTAGGACCCACATGGTAGAAAGAGAAAAATCATCTCCTGCAAGTTGCCCTCTGCAGTATACACACCAGGACACACTTATACATTCAAACACACACACATACTCACACGCACACGTGCACACACACATACATTCAATATTTTTTTAAAAGAGAAACTTTTGTCTTAGCAGATTTTAAGTAAAACAAAATATATAAAGTCTCAGTCACTTCATTACACGTTAAAATGTCCTACCTGCATCCTGGAGGTGTCAAGAATCTCAGTCACTTGCATCTGACTCTACTGTGAAGCCACCATGCAGCTGTATCTAGCAGTCTGCAGCTCTGTAGATATCAAGATTGTAAAATCCCACTTCTCAGTATCTCTGGTTAGGCTTCTAGTCTCTGGCGTCAATTTTTCAACGTTTAATTTTATTATGTGTTTTTTATCAACATCTTTGCTGTTGTTAAACAGCATTAAAGTCTACCTTAGTGACTTCCGCCTGTGTGACCAACAAAGGGTAGACCTTCCTAAATACTGGGATGGTAGGCTTGTTTACTAACCTCTGTAGACCTAAATCAACTTTTAGAAGCTAAAATATATACCCCTACTGTAGTCACTAGGTGAAATCAACAAAGATCTTCAAGGAGAGCACTTAACCTAATTTGTAGTCTTTGTTGTAACATCTTTATTTCTCAGCCTCTTTACCCCTGTGAGTTTCTTAAATGTTCAGAGACCCTGTTGTCACATTGTCAGAAGCAAATGCAGTTGTCTCTTGATGTCCATGGGGGATTGTTTGGTTCCAGGACCTTCCTCCTATATCAAGATCTGTGAACACTCTACTCCTTTCTACAGAATGGCATTGGATTTGCATGTAACGAACTCACACTTTCCCATAGCTTTAAATCTTCCCTTCAGACCTAGAACAACCAATCCAACATCAATGCTGTGTTCTGCCCTGTGGATAGGAGATAATGGCCAAAAAATGTACATGTTCAATCGCAGTTATTTTTTCTAGATGGTTCTGATCAAATAGAAAGGATTTTTCCCCCACATTGTGTGATGGGAGAAACCGTTTTCTTAGACTCATGGAATCTAAAGCAGGATCACCAGGTATAGCCCTCACCTTCCACGGGGTAAAAACGGTGCCATATGTCACCTATCCCCAAAGCTTAAATGTTTCATAACTGGGTCAATGCCCTGACTGCCCCTGGTCCCCACTTTATCCCCAAAGTCACTGACATAGTATGAAAATAGGACTACCTGCCTATGGTGGGCACGTTTGGTAGCAGTCTTCAGAAGCTGACTTGAAGGAAGACATTGAGGTCTTTAGATACAAGAGCTCAACACCTTCTAGACCAGTGTCTGGAGCCCTGAGCTCACAACAGTGGACTCTCCCTGCTCTTAGGCAAACAGCTCTGAGTGCACAGTGCACATTTCAGAGAGTGTATCTCTGAGCCAGATCCCCTTGGCAAGGGACGAATCTGAACACAGCTGCACTCCGAAGAACTAATCGCAACAACGCTGATAGAAGCTGTGTTTCATCGCTAAGAACAGTAGGGTACACAGTTGCACTTCTCTGTCTGCTGTTGGCCCTCACGGACTTGCCGCAGGTCAGGGCACATGGTGGATGGTGACCTGTGGAAATGCCTCGTGGACTCTTCAGAAGCGCCCTGCTGTTCATTGCCTTCTACTCAGCAGATCCTGGAGTAGGCATTCTCTCCAGCACTTCGGCTGTGAGGGGCCTGAATAAATGTCACTCGTGACTCAAGACTATGGCTGCATGGCCCTCAGCAGAATTCTTACTCTCCTACTTCCTTTACCATGAGCATTCCCAGACAGGCCTCGGGGCAGAGCCTAGCCCTTAAGCCTGGAAAACACTGCACAAACAACTGTGAAATTTAAACTTCCCCGGGAACAGTCCCTGTTTGGTTCTGTGTCTCTACAACAAGCAACTCTGAGGGAGCCCCATCTCCTCCTGTGATTGCCATGAGGGTTCATTTTCGTGCTGTGACTATCTGTTCTTCCCTAAGTACATCAGAGGACTTACAATACAAGCGGGTGGCGGGGGAGGGATAGAAATCAGTATTGAAGGATTTTGAATCTAAGTGTCTGCATCTCTCTGTTCATTCTTTCAGAATGCTAGAAGATGACCTTAAGCTAAGTAGTGATGACGAAGAGAGTGAACAGGTAAGGTTTTCTTCTGTGTTGCTGTTTTGTCCGTGAGGCACAGATGAGGGTAAACTGAGACCCTAAATCAAGATCTTCTGTGATACTGGGCATTGTGCTGCCATTCATGAGTTTCTGTGTAGCTGGGCCAGTCTATTGAAATGTCCTGAGCTCCGTTCCCATTAAAAGCTTTCTTTTTGTGATTTCTTTAATGGCATAGAGACCAACAATAGTGTTTCTAACAAAACTGATAGAATCAGGCTTCCCTAAGAAATGTAGATTCCTCTCCCCCCCCCTTTTTTTTACATCTTTTGGCAAAGATAACTGGCCTTCTTGAGATCAAACATGTGACCTTACACTCATCAGCATTCAGTGGGGAGGCTGTACCATTAAATATGGAGGAGCCTTATACAGATATTATTAACAGTGAGAAGGAGCGAGCACAGAGGTGAGCGAGGATGATGAATAAAAAATAATCACGCGCAGTCTCGGCTGTTTGTCTTAAATGATAAATGTGCTTGAAATAGTCTCCCTTGCTGTTGATTTACCAGCTTGAGACATCAGTCAGGGGGGCTATAAATAGTCTCCTGATCAGTCAGTTAAGGTGAAAAAATATCCACTTAGCATTCATCTCATTCACTTCTGCATCTCAGGAAACATTTTTATCTTAAAGCAGGTTTCAAAACACTAAAGACAGATTTTCCTGCATTCCTTTCATTTGCCCCATCACCTCCCTTGCCTTTTGTTGAATTTGGATGAACAGTGTAGGTTGGAGAGACAGTTTGGAGAGTTCTCTTTCTTCCTGTCATCTTTATGTGGCTGGGCTAAATGCATGTGCCACTCAATTGATTTTGAAATCGTGAACTTGATTCGAAGGTGTCACGAAATGTTGTGCACGTGATTTGCTGTCTAGGCATGCAAATACAAATAGTGTTTATAGAGAGCAAGCCAAGGGGAGAGAAGATCCAGAGGAACGTTACTAAGATGTGTGCCTGAGCAGAACGTGGGCGTTCACATAGGGTCACAGAAGACTTCTCCTCTCTCTGAGACAAGCTAAGGCACCGGGTGCAAGAAGACTCCATGAATCTAGTAACCCAGTTGGCAGACAGAGAACATCCCTAGAGAGGAAGGTGAGCTGGGCAGAAAGGCCTCCTAGACTTGGAGAATTTTGGAGATGCAATAATTTGTTTCTAGATGTCTATGCCAGGCAGTCAGATCCCCACAGCTCAGCAGTCATCAACGAAATGCAAAACAGACACACTTCTAATTTCGTTTTCTCATCTATGTGACTAAAAGAAATGATTTCACCTCTATTTTATACCACTGAGAGGCTCAGCTAGGTACAAATGGGTTTAAGCATGCAATTTGTGGGTAGTTCATGTTAGAGAAAGGATACACGGGCTAAACAGTTCCTAGAGCTGTTTGCAGGAAATACTTCCAGTGGAAATGCAATTTAAGAGACTCATTATTAATGTTGTACTATCATATTCTCTAAAGTCAACCAAATCGTTTGTTTTATTGTCTACTTCCCAGACAACAGTCCTTGGTTACACTGTACTGTACTGGTCAGACTTTAGTCTTGTGTTTCAACCTTTGTCTGTGTTTTACTGTTTTAGTAAAAGGAACACTCAGAATGAATGATCTTTACACAGTAATCAACAAAACTCCAAACAATGTTTCTGCATCTGATAACTTAAGTTAAATTATCGACATTAATCATATTAAGCTCTCCTATTTGGATCTAAAGTATACTCTTATGTAATCACAAAATCATAACTCCCCCACTGTTTTTACTGATTAAGTTTATTTAATAATTCCATATGTGTATGTAGTGTATTCTGTTTATTCTGCCTTAGAGACTGTTGGGCTCATACTTTTTAGTATGCAACTAAAAACAATAACTGTCTCCCCTGCCCCCCAGATTCTATCAGTTGCCAGTAGTTCAGCAGGGAAAAGGTAAACGTCCCATGACTCCTTTCTGGTCCATGATTGGCTGTTGGCAGGCCTTCCCAGTTTAGGCTGCTGTGGCTGCTGTGTGATCAGGTTTTTTGTGATGGCTATAGCATGACCTGAAGACAGCATTTCACATCCTGTAGCATGATTAATAAAAAATCCAGAGACAAATATTGGGAATCAAGCTGAAAGATCAGAAGCAAAGCAGCCAATCACTAGAGAGCTTTTACCTCTACGAAATCTTTAGACTCAAAAGAGCATAAGTTCCTATCTCATCCTGCCTTATTCTTCTCTAGCACTGGGATTAAAGGCGTGCTCCACCACTGCCCGGCCTCTATGGCTAACTAGTGTGACTGCTGGGATTTAAGATGTGTGCCACTACAGCCTGGCCTGTTTGACTGCCTAGTGTGGCTAGCTTTGCACTCGGATCTTCAGGCAAGCTTTGTTAGATCATAAACAAAATATGACTGTAACATCCTTCTCCCTGTCTTTAAGCTCTTACCCTTTTTACATTTCCTCCACGGTGCTCCCTGAGCCTTGAAGGGATCCCCCTACTTTCAGAAAAAGACAAATGACAATACTTGCCCCCGGAAAACATGTAGCCCATACAAACATGAAACATATACACATATTTTATTTCTTTCTTCACACATTTGTTTTCAGTGATCTTTCCAGGTACAATCAGAGTTCCCCTCTTCCCAGAAATCTTTTCAAAAGACTTTGCATACTTCTCTGCCCGAGGAAACAAGATGAACTTAGTTGTCTTTGTAAACATTGATGCAGTTGACCGGTGTGGTCACCCAAAAATAAAGATGTCCCTAAGGGCCTTGGGTTGCTGCACGTGTTTGCCTCACACTTGGGGCGTTGTTTGAACACCCTTGTCTTCCTGTTGCTTTTCTCCTAATTGCTTGTGTGCTCTTAGAGATGAAGACAGAAGGCTAGTTTAGTGATGAGGACCACTGAAGCCTTGCTCCAGGGTTCAAGTCCCTGTTCAGCTGCTGAGCATCTCAGCAGTGTTAGCCCAGCTTTTCAACCACAAAGGCCTTCGGCACTCCTCTTGTGATAGTAGAAGTCCCCATATCAGTCATTCTTGCTGCTGTGACAAAGCGACTGCGAAAGCCACTCAAAAAAGGGAGGGCTTGGGGACTCACAGTTTGAAGACACACAATCTTAAGATTGCATGGTAGCATCATGAGGCTGCTGGCCACACTGCTTCCACAGTCAGGAAGCAGAAAAGAAGAAGATGCCCAACATGGACCTCTGCCCTGCATGCACAGGCTCATGCAGGAACACACTCACAAACCACTTCATACAACTTTTTATAGTAGCTACAATGGTGCATTATGTAGACATGGCAGTTCATTGATTCTTTTATCCATTTTCTCCATTAATATCTTATAATTACATCCATCCCAAACTTGACGAACATGGACAGTGTAGAATTTAGTCTTATAACCTCTGGAGTTTTGTGGAATTCGGGAGACTGTCTCCCACATTAGCCCAGGCAGGCCTCCGACTTTTGATAGTCGTCATCCCTCAGCTCCTCCAGTACTCAGTCTCCCTGGCATCAATGAAGGATGTGTGTCTTAGCCTGTATTTCTTCATCTCCACTCTGCATTCCATAGCTGACCTGTGTCTAGTCAAAAGGACCAATCTTTCCTCTTCCTGCCACATCCCGTTCTTATTTTCCTGCTGTTGTCAACACCCTTCCCTCATGTTTCAAGAGGGTTCTGTCCCATCCTGTCAAAAGTTTTTCCCATTTCCTCTGCTCCTTTGGACCTTGTCTTCAGCCCCTGCCTTACCCATTAAGCATAACCCTTCTCTACCACAGCTGCTCCACTGGAACCAGCGCTGACCTAAATGCCTGTCTCTTTTCGTCCCTTGCCCTACCCTAAAGTGGCATTTTGTTGACCACTGTTCACTACTTCCTTGAAGGTCTGATACTGCATGCCTCGCGCCTGTGTCCTCCCCTTCACCTCCCGCCCATGCCCTTCCTCTCTGCCTGGTCCTTCTTAGAATGGTTTGCTGCCTGCTCACTCTCCACCCAGTCTGACAGCGTTCATCCCTACCTTTTCCTTTCTAGCTCTACTCTTTTTGGACATCCCTGTCCTTCCTCATGACTTAGTTTTTATATAATGGCAGCTTCTATGCAGCCTCAACTTTGAACTCAGGATCCGCTTCTGAGCCTCTCACACTCTTTTCTATTTGACTCTTTCACATGCCTTCCAAACTCGAGCCGTGCCACGTTGAATTTCTGGGGTTTGCCTGCCCTCTGCCCAAATGTTTGTCTTGTGATTGTTACCATTTCCGAAGCTAACATTGCCGGATGCCCATTGCTCAAGTCTAAAATCACAGACTCAGCCCTGATAACCGTTCCTCACTCAAATATGCCTTTCTTCTCTAACTCCTCTAAATGTAACTTCCAAAATTAAATATTACTCTGCCATCCTAACTCTTTCCATCCTAACTAGTGTAAACCATCCTTGTGTGAACTGTCATCTTGATGTTCTCCAACTTCTGTAATAGTTGTTACTCACTGATCTTTTAAAAATGTGTGTCAGATCAAATCATTTATTTTTTAAAACTATTATTTTTAATTTATAAGTGTATCTTGATGTCTGTATGGTTACCAGATGTATGCAGTAACCATGGAGGCCAGGAGAAGGCATCAGCTCCCCTAGAACTAGAGTTAACAGGCATTGGTGTACAGCCTAGTGTGTATGCTGGGAACCAAACGTGGGTCCCGCACAAGAGCAGCAGGTGCTCTTATGTCAGCCAGCTCTGACTCCCAAATCATTTTTGATCTAAAATGGATTTCCTCTCCCTCCGGGAGAGACATGAAATGCTCGTGCCATGGCCTCTACAGCCTCCACAGTCCAGTCTGGTCCACATCTCCCCCTACTCACTGAGCACTCAGTCTCCTGGGCCTCGCTCAGCTCTTCCAACAAGCCATGCTCATCTTCCTCAGGGCTTCCACAGGCCTCTGCTCTGTGCTTTGCCTGGTTGATGCCTGTGCTCCTGAAGGTACAGTACATAAAGTACATTGCTTTCTCAGAGAGACCATGGCA